CCCTGCCCATCCCAGGATGGATCCCAGCCCTGCCCATCCCAGGATGGATCCCAGCCCTGCTCAGGTGGCAGCAATGAGCAGGGATGCATCCCCTTGGTTAAACCTCATTCCCTGTCCTGGTCCCTTGCTGCTCCTGATGGCATCCCTGGCCCACATCACCCAGGGCTGCCAACGAAGTCGTTGTTGTTTGGTACCAGCAGCTTCTGCAGCCTCTGGGCTGTGTTGGTGGCCCACAGACACAGAGAATGTGAATATAACTTGAATTACCATGGAGTTAAACAGACACAACCAGTTCCTCTGGAACACTGAGCCTTCTGCTCATTGCTCAAAAAAGAACAATGCCCAAACCAGAATCATCTTTATTTGGATGTGTTTACAGACTCTCTGTTACTTTTTTTTTTTTCTTTTTTGACAAAAATATGAAGGTTCCAACAGAAAAAAATGCATAAACTACTTTCCAATCCAGCTTCTCTGAAAACAATGTTTGGCTTGGAGTTGCACAGTGTTTCACCCAGGTGTGTTTTTGACGTTCATGGAGAAGGGAAGTGGCTGTCCCCAACTCTTCAGGAACCTCTCCCTCTGCAAACTGAGCCTGTCACCCCTGAAGTCACCACCAGCAGCCCCTGTGCACATCAAAACTGTTGACAGAATTCCTCCTGGCAACTTCTTTCATCAACACAGTTTCCATGGAGACAGTGAGGTTGTTCTCAGACACTCATCTTACACACTGAGGTGGCAAAGTTGGACCTCCATTAATTTTAAGGAACTACACAGAGTCCTCCACCTACAAACTAAAGCATCTCCAAAAAAAAAAGTTTCTATCGTCACCCAAATTGTCCAAAACACAACTGACAACAAAAAAGTGTGGTTTGCAGGTGGCATCACTTCCTGCCATGAAAGTATGGACATTTCTAACATTTAATAACATTTCTAGAGCTTGAGCTAAATGGCAAAATCCAGTGTGTGGTGGCTGGGAGGGCATGGCACAGGGTCAGACTGGCAAAAACCTGCTGGGAGCTGATTTCTGGCAAGAGGCTCTGTATTTCTGAAAGCTCAGCAGCAGAATTTCCCTCTCCATAAGCAGGCAGGCACTTGGATTTTTTCCTTGAGGGAATTGGCAATGAAATCAGAAGGAAAACTCATGGTAAAAATGGGCCATTTGCAGGAAAACAAATGTGGAAACAGAGTCACAGCTCAGCCTCACCTTCTGTGTTGAGACCTAAAGCAGAAAAAAACTGAAAGCCTTGGAAGAATAATTTCCTGAGAAATTAAGGCCCATTTTTAATCCTGAGCACTTCCTATAAGATTTTGCTTTCTGTTTATGTTGTTTTTCTTGTTTTCCTGGTTTTTTTTTTCCCCAATCAGCTTTCCTATCTGTCCAGGGTGTTTTGTAGCACTCTAGTGATTCAGGTGGTATAGGCAGATAAATAACAGAGTTATTATCTTTACAATAAATCTCTTTGTAATAAATCTCTTTGTAATAAATGCACCTTGTAGCTTGATTTACAGCAAAATCCTCCTCCTCCTCTTACTTCCATGATGAGACCTATTTAAGTCAGTGAGACTAGTCATGATGATAAGATAATTAAGTTTTTAGTACAACTCTGGTTAGTGAGCAGAATGCAGTTCTGATATAATGAATCTACCAGCTCCAGTCTGATATCCAAAAAGTGTTGGTGATTTGGGTATTGTTCTTAATGTGCTCTGAAAAAAAAAAAGCACATTTTTTTTACATTCAAGCATGAAACCCTGTATAGGACACAATTCAGATCATCTTTTAAATTAAAGTATTTCTTTTGGAAAGGCAAAGTTGAAGTTCAGGCAGCCTAGCAGTGACACCTGCAAACTGACAGTCAAACCCCCCCTACATTAAAATGGAAAGATTTGCATGAATGTGTTTTAAAATGACAGGAGACAGGAACTGGAGCTTCTAAGCAAGTTAGACTAAAATTTTAAGAGTGAAATGCCTAAAAATAGGCCCCTGAATGCATAGTTAGGCACCTATATAGAGACTGCTTGATTTTCAGTTGTTCTGATCACCCAGAGCTCCCATTAACTTCAGGAGCAACTGTGGATACTCAGCTGTTCTAGAAATCAAGCCACTTTTATTCAAGGGTCTAAATATGGATGTCTGTGCCAAGGTTTAGGGGGGAAAATACAAAAAATAAAAAAGAGGCCTGGTTGCTGCTTTTTTTTTTTTTTTTTTTTGCTACATTTTATAAAAGAAGACATTTTATAAAAGAGGAGTAATAGCCAAGTTTCATTCTTCTTTCCCATCACAATGCTTGAAACTGAATCAACAGAACAATTAATAGTGCAACACATCTGTGCCAGAAGATTTTGTCTGAGGTGAATGGAAATCTATTCCAAGATTGGTAGCTCTTAATTAGCAATCTGAAACATTCCATAGATATTTCATATTCTGTGATTGCAAAGTGTTACCAGGCCACCTAAATCTTTTTCAAAGTATTTCAGTGTTGCCATTAATAAGCTTTTCAGGCTGGCCTGAGGAACTTTGCAAGATTAACTTTGCAAATCTGTATGTATTAACTATTTGACTATTTCAGAAATGCCACTTTTTTTCTGCTTTTGGATCAAGTACAACCAGCAGACTTGAGCATATTTTTAAATACCATAAACTAAGAAGAAGGGAGAATTAGGCCTTTAATTCTATCATAGGCACTTGGTTGTCAGAAGACTTCTTGAATGCTGTTTCCTTAAAGAGCTCTTTTGTAAAAGTAATCCTGAGTTGGTTTTGTGTCTAAGCCATTGCCAGTTCATGCTNAAAAAAAAAAAGAAAATTTATGATGGAATTATATATGACTATAAAGCTGCAAATGTCATGGAAGTAACAAATTAAAGGCATGCCAGATGAGGATATTTGTTTGTGTGTGTGCATAAAATATGATGTTATATCCCTCAATATATTTGTTTGTAGGATATGAACTAAGGGCTCTTGCTGCTGTGTTTGGAAAGAAAAAGTAAAAAGCAAAGATTCTTGTTGCTCTTAACTAAGATTTCAAAAAGTGCCAGGTGGAAGTCAATGCTTTCCTCTGTCATCTGCCTTTGACTATTTCAGTATGTTTTATTGAATATCATGATGGGGACATTTTATTTTCCATGTTTTTAGACAGCACAGAACAGCAAGAGCTTTGGTCATGGCTGGGGCATTTGTGCAACCCCTGGCAGATAGAAGACAAAATCCTTAAGAAATCAGAACAAATGGTGCAACACCATCACTGGCTGTGTTCTAACACCCAGCAGAGATGGCAGTGGCAAAGAGAAAGCTCATGCTGCTCTCTCATCACCAGGGACATAATTTTAGGTCAAGAGTGAGGCAGAGGGAGCAAGATAATATTGTTCCCATTGCAGGAGTGAGCCAGGGGTTTTCAGCAGTCATGAATATTAACCTGACATCTCTCAGCTGTTCTTAAAACATGTCAGTATTGCAATTTCCAGGAAAGGTGAGGAAAGGGAAAAGATTGGTGCTTTTGTCCTCCCCCAAATCCCCTAAACCTCATGTTTTCCCAGCAGCAGCAACAGGATAATGACTCTCAGATATTTTTCTTGGTTAAAGGTAATATCACCTCCTCTCCTGGGCTTAATGAACATGGGAGTGAAGACCAGAAACTTTCATGTTTTGATATTTCCTATGACACTGCACTGTTCCCAATTACTCTGCATCCTTTGGGGTTGATTCCTGTGCCAGTGATGCAGCTCATGGGGACACAGGTCAGAATCATTCCTCCCACTGGGAACTTCTTCCCCAGGAAACAACCAACATGTAAAAAATTACCCACGTGTAGGATGGGATGTGACTTTGTCCACAGGATGGAAATACACCATGAGGAGCTGTGGTGGCACAGTGACAGGAAAGGTCTGTGAGGCTCAGTCACAGCTGGGATTGAAGGGGAGGGCACTGCCATGCATTTGAAAATACTCTGTACATGCACAAACTGAGCCCTTTCTGCTCACATTTTGTAAAAGTTTACACTGCAAACATGGCCTAGACCACGGTCTGCTGCCCCAATATCAGAGCCCCAGATGTCTGCAACAACACCTCCAACTTCAAGAAACTCTGAGCTGGAAGTGAATCTGAATCCAGAAATGGATGTTCCATTTCTGCAGAAGCAGCAAGCCAGCACATTTAGGAAGATTCCTTTAGTTCTGCAGGAGCTGTAAGGTGCCCCAGCACTTTTAGGAAGATTCCTTTTGTTCTGCAGGAGCTGTAAGGTGCCAACAACCAACCTGCTGCTCGATGTCTCCCAGTAAGCTGCTGGCACCCAGGCGGAAGAGCTCTGGTGTCAGCCACTCCACTCCCAGCTCCTCCTTCACCAGCATAAGCCAAGTGACAGCTTCTTTGGCTGTCCTAATGCCCCCTGCAGGCTTAAATCCAACCTTGAGAGAGAGAGAAAACAAAAAGGAGATATGTAATACACGTTTTCATCCACCAGCAAGCCTAGAAGAGCAATCAGTGTTTGTGCAGCTGCAGTCTCAGTGTCTGGGATGTCCCAGCTCTGCCTGGTGAGGACCTGGCTGCAAACAGGACAAGGTCTGGACTGGCCTTGGGAGCTATCCAGCCTCAGCCATCACTGCCAAAGAGAACATTTTCATCCTGAGGGAGCAATACTTTTGACCCCTGTGCACCTTCTCAGGAGCTGGGACTGAGGTGTCATGGGAATACTCTGCCCCTGGTACAAGGGATTTAGGCAGGACTGGGATATCTGCACAATCACACAGTGCCAATCCAATTCCAAATGCAGAACAACAAATACACAACAATAAACAATAAAGTAACTCTAAAGGTGCTGCATGTGAGGTGGCTATTTTTATAAAAAGCCTGTGCAGCACAGTTACACATGATTTGGCTGTACATTCACACCTAGCAGAGGTTTAATTTGCACTAAAATTTTCCATATGGGAATTAAATTATGCCTGCCTTTATCAAAAACTGAAAGGTGTTTCACAGGAATTGCAGAACTCCTGAGAGGTGTGTCCCATCTGAAGGTGAACTGCCACGTCTGCAAAGGCACAAACACCAAGGAAACACCAATTTTTAATTTTTTTTTTGCCTTGAATGCCATGATGGACCTGCTGTGCACTTGGCACACACCCCTAATGCCAGTCCTTTGGTTATGTGCCATTTAAACACATCTTGTTCTGAGACAGAGCTTGTGACACTCAGCTATCAAATCCCTCATCAAAAATGCCAAAATCTTGGCCTGTACCTAAACTCTTGAAAAGCAAGGAAAATCGGGAAAAATTCTTCCTGTATAAAAAAAAAAAGAAGTAAATCTGAACAACATGTAGCACACAGTGATTCCTCCTGTGTTTCCTTCTGCCATTAACCTTTACATTCTGCAGGAATTATTTTGTTTTTGTATGTAAGCTCCCAAAACCTCACTGCACCGAGGATTTCTTTGTGCCTTATGGATATAATAGTGGAATCAGAAAGTATCTGTTTTTAAATGGGGTTGGTAATCTTTTTTATATAGTGATTTCAGGACCAACAAACACAGAATAAATCCTTCTCTCATGCTGGAGCATTGTGATAATGGCATATTTCCAATAAGATTAAAAAGAACAAAAGCAGGAAAAGCTTGATAAATCCAAATCATGAAGACTGTGTTTTTGTGGATGGACAAATAGATGTGTGAGTGTATGAATACATCTGTTAACATTAGATTTCCCAAAAAAATTTAAAGCCCAGCAACTGGAAAAGCATCTTCTAGATAATAAACAAAAACAGTTGGAATGTGTTTTCCTTCAGGAAAAGAAATTCTAATGAAATTTGAATTTAGATTTCTTCCTATAAATACTACATCTCTTTGAGCTAATCTGTGGCAAAAACAAGTGAAACAGAGTTAATAAGAGAATTAAACCCATCATTCCGAATTCCTTCCCCTTTTGGCCGATTCTGAAATCTCTTTTCTTTGCAAAAAAAGCTGACAAAGACAAGCCTGTCCTCTCCTCCATTTACCAGCTTTCCAAACAGCACATCTGACTGCCACAAAAACGTAAAAAGGAAAGGGGGGGGAGTTGGAATTTAATTCAAGAGCAGTACAAAGTCCAGCTACCACTTTCCTGCTGTTTCACAGCATTTCATTATTTTGCTTAATAAGTTCATCTCCTCAAGAATTTTCTCTTCACCTTACATTATTAAAAGTAATAAGTTTTTCTGGATTGGGGGTTTTCCCAACAGAAAAACCAATTTATGTATGTCCTTCAATAATGACAGGAAAAGATTATTTCCCATTATATTGCACACTTTTCATATCACCACCACAGCTTATCAGTCAATAGATGTTACTCTGCAACTTGTTCCTTTCCTTGAAGAAGTTTAATTTCTGTATTAACCTGTTTTTCCCAGGCAACACCTTGCTAGAAAGCATCCCTACAGCAACAAAATTAGTTTGTTAAAGAAAGCATTTAGAAATTTCTTGTCACTGATAATAGTGTCTTCGGTTAATAAAAGTACATAAAGTCAGTTTACATCTAATTCACTCACACACACGTGCACACAGACACAAGCACTTAATAAAACATTTCATACCACCAATGCCTCCTTTGAAAGCAAAAGGTGAATTCAACATTTATATCCAATTATGGGGACAAAGCTGTGCCCATGCAGCTTGTGGCACCCAGTCACTGGGACCCACACTGGGCCACTGGTGGTGCTCCCACAGAAACAGGATTATTTATTTATTTATTGTGTGGCACACAGGCAGGAGGGGAAAGGAGGAGAGGGGACAGCCCAGGTGGCCTCTCTGGGGGTGGACACACCTCTGAGCTGGTGTCACCTCTGACAGCCCCAGAAGCCACCAGCCCATTGTACCTGGCAACAGCATGGAAAAAAATGGAGCAACTTTAGGTCCCACATCTTCAGGCCAAAATCCTGAATGGCAAGATTAAATATTTTTAAATCTTTTTAATTCAAAGTTTATAGGGATTTTTAACACTGAACATGGAGGCTTGTGTTTGAGGAATAACTCAGCGTGGGGGAAGGACAGAAACTGAAATTTCCTGGTCCAGCTATTGACAAAGGGGGAAGATGAAGGATGCAGGACATGATGGGGACAGAGAGGAGCTGCTCACAGCTCTGGAGAACAGGATTTTTCCACAGGATTTCTTTCCCAACAGGAAAATGTAAATAGCTCCATCTGGGACTAATTATTCACCTGGTGAAGGAAAACAGGAACTATAAAGTGATTTAAGGGTCCTGCCTCTCTTGCTGTAACATTTCTTCAGTGATGACTTCAGACCCATTATGGGGAAAAGAGAGAACTGCTTGCAAGAAACACTTTTGCCTTTGTTTATTCTTGGTGGCCTCAAGGAATGGATCAGGCCAGCTCAGAGCAATATCCAAGCTGCACTTTTTCTCCTTGATGCTCATTTCCATCAATGTAAGTAGCATCAACTTCTGTGACTCCTGAAGAAAATATCTTTTTTTTTTTTTTTCAAAGAGCCCATGTACATCTCTGAGTGGTGAAGATGAGTTTAATAATGTGCCTACCTAAGTGCTCTAGATCAGAAAGCAAATAAAAGAGAACACAGAATTGTCCCTGGGTAAATTTTCACACTGTCCTTAAGGTAATCTCAGAGGTGGGTTCCATTCTTTGAGCATTTGATTTCAGCACCATCACCTCGAAGCCCCCCTGCCTGAAGCTGAAGAGGAGGGAAGGGTGGCCAGCAATGGGGAGGAGCTCTCAGCTGGAGATACAGACTGCTGGCTGTGCTGAAGGGGACAACAAAGCCCCTGCTCAACACCAGACCCCACTGGCAGCCCCCACTGCCCCTGGAAAAAGGAACTGAGACGTGGCTTAAGCCCTGCTGGGAATCTCCTCCTTCCTCAGTGTTTCAGCAAAAGGATGGGTGCACAGACAGCTCATCACTGGCTCTGCTGTACATTCCCCTTTTCTCCTCTGACCTCACCTGATCGACCAACATGAAGTGCCAAGGACATAATGTCCTTCCAAGCCCTGTCCCTTCTCTCCTTCCCTCCATCCCAGGAAACAGGATACAACTGGAGCTGCCTCCTTTTCCCCTTGGAAAGCCTCTCTGGCAAAGGAGGAAAGAGCAAAACGTGTCCCTTGGGTTTGCCAGGACAAAGTCAGAAAATGCAATGTGTACACTGGGCAGACTCAATGGCTCTACATTTGTACAGCTCTGCTGAGGTTTATGGGAGCATTTAAGCCTCTGTCAGCCCTGCTATTAATGGACATGGCCACTTAAATGCTGAAACAAAATTCAAACCCAGATGCAGCAGGGAATGCTTCGATTGCATGAGCTTTTATGGAACGAAGCAACAGTTCTTCAAGGGAAGAAAGACAAAAGTAAAAAAAAAAAAAAAGAAATTAGCAAATCAATCATTTTACATTGTTATTTTTTTTTCTGAATGAGCCTGTTTGGTTAATTTTTAGAAAGGAAATGAGAGCTACCTTGTAGCCAGTTTGCCAGTAGTACTCCTTAATGGCTCGCATCATGACGATGCCAACGGGAAAGGTCGCATTTTCCACCTCCTTTCCTGTGGATGTCTTTATAAAATCAGAACCTGAAAGGAAGTAAAATGTTTTGTAGCAGTTTTAGAACAAGAGTCCCTCTGCACACACAGGTTCACGGCCTCAAAGATGCCCTCCTGCTTCCCAGCAATTCTGAAGCTTTTTCCTTTACACAAGTGTCCCTGTGCTGCACACAAACACACATTGCAGGATTTCCACGAGGATCTTTGAGAATAGAAATTATTTTCGTCAGGTTTTTTTTTTTTTAATTTAACTGCACATCTACTCTGTCCCACGTCTCACAGTCTGCTGTTGTATCTCCTGCAGCTGTTTTTAGGAGAAGGGAAAGATATCTCATATGTGTTTACTAAACCAGCTGTGTAATAATGTAAACCAAGGGAAAACTCCCCTTTTATGTGTTTTGCAATTGTATCATTGCAAGTTACTACACTTAAATCCACTGTCTGATTTAATGCAGCAACAAGGTCAAAACATCTGTGTTCTTTTAAAGAACAAGAGTTAACCCTGGCTTATTTTTTTCCTGTTTTCTCACTAGTGAATAATATTCTCCACTGCCTGTCTTAATACTTGTGTGACATGCTTGTGTATTCTTGCTTGAAAAAAAATCCCGAAGCAAAGTGTAACAAAAAGCTAAGAAACTAACAAAAAAAATAATGATCCAGCACTGACAGAACACAATGACAAAACTTCTTTAATTTCATTAGGACGCACTTCACCCCTAGGAACCTACTTCTTAGAAAAGGTGTACTGTGGGATCATTAATTACCAAAGTAATTGGGAGAAGAAGAGGGATAATTCAAACATCATGTAGCAGTGCATCATCCACTTAAGTCAATTGGAACTGCATCTGCTTCCACTTCAGATTTGGCTCGGGGTCCGTTTTGTCTCTCG